CTACCTGAACTGAAGAAGGTGCTACAGGGACTTGGACACTTGCGGGGGGCTATCCCTGAATTCTCTCCAGGCACCCCACTCATATGGAGATAAGTGGAGATGCGGCTAGCCTGAACAGCCACCAGATTGCCACCAACACCTGTAAGAAAACAGAGACAAGATATGATCAATTATATTGGTGCCAGTGATTCCTCAACAACAATGCATCCAGAAATTCCTCCCATACTTGTGTACAGCAGACAATTGGCACAATCTGAAGCTGATCACCATAACTTCTTATGGGAAGATCTACACTATCTTATAGGAGGCACATCCAATTTCTACTGTGGTTCCAGCATGGTGAAGTGCAATACCATATCAGTGATGGACAGAATTCATGGTTGAGAGTTTCAAATTAATAATATAAGTGAAGAAGGGACATGTTTTACAACTATTAGGCCATTCACATGAAGAGAATACAAACAGACACATAGAAAGAGAGTTGGAGATTTCTGTAAGGTTATATTAGTATTCATTTCCTCTTATTTAACTTTTTGAGTCTGCCAATAACCAATTTCTCTCCAAATAGATCACACTTCTACTAAGCATCCTACTACTAGGATCACCTACACTATTCACTGACTTTCAGAATGGCACTTTAATGCCAGCATGTCAAACTTGCGACGTCACATGACGTTGGCAGTTTGACATGCCTGCTTTAATGTATGAACATTTTTCTAAAGACTTAAAACTCAGTTAAGGTGCCATTGACCAAATCATTTCACACACAAATAGCAATGCATGCTATGATACAAGCCATTGGAACAAGGACAAAACTCCCCAACTTTAATTCATTTTAGAAGATATTGATAGAATTTATGAAATAAAGGGGTCCCCATTTAACAATCAATCTTTCAGTGACTGTTCAAACAGTATGATTGTACTGAACAAGTACAATTCTACCAATTCTTTGACTGGTCCTCAGAGTTTCAGCACTCATAGTATCCTCCTGAACAAATGATCCAGGTGCTTGGTAGTTGGCTCATAATCATGTCACAGCAAGCCACAATCATATGATTATGATTTATCATGTTCCCTGCTGGCTTTCTACAAGCAAACTTGTAGAAAATCAAAAGTCACAATCATTGGAGGTCCTCGCTTAATGACTCATGTGGTCTTCTCTTAATGATGGCAACTAGGACTGCCATCAATAAGTGGCGTCACTTTTGATATCTTTCTGTTTTGATTAAGTTAGTTACAAGTTAAGTTCTTCCTCCCACCGTGCCCCCAATATAGATCTTTCTGCCATTTAATTAAGTGTATGAGTTCAAAAGTATGTCCCAAAACATTGTTACATGTAAGGTGTTATATCTGGCACATACATATATGATCTTCTACTATCTCAGCAATGTTTTGTCTCTGGTCCCTGTTCGTTACATTCACATTTTTCATTTCTTTTAGGAGCAAAAGACAACATACATAATATTCAGAAGTCCATGCAGTCCTGATAGTGCTGCAATTTAATAACAAGTTAAAACTCCTTTATTCCAAAATGCTTTTGATCCTAGCTGATCAAAAGTGTCTATCTTGAATTTTATCTTTGCTTTTTTTGTATATGGTTAATTTCTGCCTTTGATATTCATTTGGATTTATTTATCCTCATGTTTTTTGGTGATATTGTATATCTCCAGGGTCCTTTAGGATTGCGGTGAGTTATAAATACTATACATAAATAAGTAAATATAGCATTCCTCCCTCCCTTTTTAACCTCACAATAACCCTGTAAGGTAGGTTGGGATTAGACATCATGGCTGCCCATCATTTAATAACATACAGCTAAACATGGATTTGATCCTAAAACTTCCAGTGTAGTTTAGAATCCTAACCATCATGCATCACTGGCTCAAGAAAGTTGAAGAAGTTCCTAAAGCAGCAATTTCTACAGTTACCCATGGACTATAAATAACATGCAAGATTAGTCACAGGAGTTTTCATTCCCACAACATACAGGAATTGAGTATTTAATATCTCACTAGCTCTCTCACCAAGTGTTAAATATATTGAAGTTGAGTGCTTAAAACAAAGAACAGCTCACCATTTATAACAGGAGTAAAGACTGCCATTCCTGCAAAATTTGGATCTGACACTGTTTTATCCAATATCAATCCTCCAACACTGAAAGAAGAAACATTGAAAAAAATTGGAAGATATAATAGCTAACTGCATAAAAGAATTACTGCTACAGCCTCAAAAACTTGTTTGTTTTTTGTGATGCTTGGAAAATATTGAGTGCATTCTAAAAGTATACATGCATTCATTAAATAATTTTCTCCAATATTTGTTTCTTTCAAGCACATCCTGTAAAATGTTTTTGAGAACCTAAACACTTGTAGTTTGCTTCTAGGTAAGAAAAGGAGTAGGAAAAAAGACATATTAGAAATCAGGTTCTTTAGCTCATTTCATCACAATACTGGAGCATTCCATCTATTGAAAGCTGTGTCTAGATTTCTTTAAAACAAATTGTCTTCCTAAAATCAGAATATGGGGAAATGATTATAGATATGTAACTCTAGATTTGTTTAGTTTTTAAATTTGAATAAACTTCCAAAATCATTTTCTTTCTGAATTAAAAGAAAAAGGTAAATTCTATCATTGTTATTATACAGTGTTAATACATGACACTGAACAAGATTCTTAATAGTTTACTGTAAAGTTTAAGGAAGGCAATTTGCACTTTTGTTGAAGTTTGTTAAAAAAGAGGATTCCATTCCATTTGATCAAGGAATATCAGTATTGAGATTGTTAGGATGGTATAATATTAGTCTATATACTACTAAAACTCTTGTATCTGTAACCATTAACTGGATGAAACAGTGCATCATAGGGCAACACTTTTTGAAACAAGGTACCCCAAATGAGCTAAGTTACAGAATACATCCAAAATCTGGGACCTATGACTTTAGTAAATTTTATAAAACTTTTTAGGACATAAAGCCATAAACCATTTTATGAACAATACAAAATGTCATAAAATATTTCCTATTGTCAACTCATGATGTTTGATTCTGTTATACAGTTAAACATTGGCTAATTTCAAGGCAGATACCTATCTGAATATCTCCCTGAATTTTTAAGATTTTTTCAAGTACATTAGGTCTGCCATTGTTGAAGGCACTGAGGAATCTGGTAAGAAAATATCTCTGAAATGATGACTCACTGGGGTCATAGATGGTTTAGCATATAATACTAATATTGAGCTTGAAATAATAATTACATATCTAAGTGAGATCTATATAAATAAAAATGTAAATGTTCGTTTGTTCAAAATCTTAAATCTCCGAAAGTTCTTCACCGATTGCTTTGAAATTTTGACACAACATTGCATTCGAATACGCGCGTGTTTTTATATACCTATATTATATAGATGTCACACCTGTGACAGGTAAAAACATGCGGTTTTTGAAAAACAGCGCCATCTGTTGGACATAAAAGCAACACACGCTTTTACCAGACTGAGCCACAGCAACGCGTGGCTGGGTACAGGTAGTTTTTAATAAACCTCAGCTTTTAAATGGACTCAACTATGTTGAATTTAAAAAATTCAAACATCTGTTTTGCCTTTTCAATTTTATTTGGTTCACTGAGCCCAATTTCATGAAGTGGGGAGGGTACTCTTGCAGTCTTCATGAGCCGTGGTGGCACAGTGGTTAGAATGCAGTATTGCAAGCTAATTCAGCCTACTGCCAGGCGTTTGATCCTCACTAGCTCAAGATTGACTCAGCCTTCCATCCTTCCGAGGTTGGTAAAATGAAAACCCAGATTGTTGGGGGCAATATGCTGACCCTGTAAACTGCTTAGAGAGGGCTGTAAAGCACTATGAAGTGGTATATAAGTCTAAGTGCTATTCCTATCGCTATTCATACCTGCTAATTGCCATGGCAATGATGACTGGTTCCCAGCCAGAATATAGTACCTCCTGGGTTGCTGGATTCCGCTTAGCAATGATGATCCAGAGGGGCAGCAGTGCAACAAAAAAAGCACAGACCAAGGGATTCACATAAGGCTTGTCTTCTAGATAGAAGAAAAAGGATTTGAATGAACAATCAGTGCATGGCAGATACAGCAGATCAAAGCAGCAAATGAAATATTTATCACATTTCACCTAAAGTAGACAAGCGTTCCTTTTTAGCCACAGGCAGAAAAGTTTAAGGTCAACACACAAACACACAAACTATCTACAATTTGTTTTAATGAATATAGATTCCTAAATCTATATCCCCACACCTATATCTTAGAAATTCAAATGGATTCCATTGGTGTAGCTGGTCCCTACAGTACATCTAAGCAAGATACTTATGTAGTATAACTGCTATTCTCTTAGCTGAAATTCTAGAAATAGCACCCATTGTGCAGTTTGCACAGACAGGTTTCCATTTTATTTATGGGTTGCTGGGAGATTATTATTTTTTGTCCCTTCAAGTAAGCATGGTCTCCTAGTAATTGCTTGGACAAGTCCCTGCAGTTTTCCTGGTAAGATTTCATAAGTGGCTTGCCATTGTTTTTTTCCTGCGGCTGAATGACTGGCCTAAGGTCACCTAAGATGGGACTAGAACTCATAGTCTCCCAGCTTCTAGCCTGCTGCCTTAATCACTACACCAAACTGTAGTTTTTACTACATACTACTATATGGTAGCTATGCAACATTTGAGATTTGATTCCAAAAATGTGCTTCAGAGAGCATGATGATAGAAACATTTCACTCCTTAACTTGCTATGGATGCTCAGAAGATGCTGATTTAAGGAGCTATAGGCAGTACTGTTTGTGCCTCAGCACATCCACATTGCTTCAAAAGGGTGAGTAGATAGGTAATGCAATTCTAAGATTGCCCCTTGATCTGCAAATAATCTGATCTGGATAGTTCCTTTACTCTTTCCATTAGGGAAGACTCTCAGAAGTGAGAAGCAGGCAGGCAGAGAACATTTGCTTCAGTTGGACTAATTCGCCTGTCTAAGATCATTACCGGTACTACCAATTGCTCAATGAGAAGAATCCCAGAAGAGACAAAGGGTCACTTGTTCTACATACACAGAAACAAATACCCATATTTGTAATAAAGCTGCATAATTAAGATTGATACTACTTGTAATATATGTATTACACTATTCCCTTTAGGGGCAAGCAACATCATGCCCCTAATATTCAAGCCACACATAAAAAATAAAAAACTTATAACTATATACATATACTATATACACTATGCAAACATACAAGCTACTAGGTTGAATAACAGGATAACAGAGTTGGAAGGGTTTTTAAATGTAATTGAACCTTGACCACATGGAGTGACATTGAGTAAATTCAAAGAAAGAGAGGGAAAATGTATCTTATATTTTAAGTATGGAGTGACAGTATCTTTCCAGTGAAGCAAAACATTTCTTTTAGTTATTGTATACTACATGATGGAAAAATTCAAAGTTCTTCACCAGCAGATAATCAGTATTTGATTAAAAATTATTACTCTACCCAAAGAATCACAAAAATACAAAACAGAATAAACATACAGTGAGGGTAAAATTATTTTGATTCCCTGCTGACAAAGAAATGATCAGTCTATAATTTTAATGGTAGGTTTATTTTAACAGTGAGAGAGAATAACAAAAAAATATATCCAGAAAAACACATTTCAAAAAAGTTATAAATTGATTTGCATTTTAATGAGTGAAATAAGTATTTGACCCCTTTACAAAACATGACTTAGTACTTGGTGGCAAAACCCTTGTTGGCAATCACAGAGCTCAGACGTTTCTGGTAGTTGGCCACCAAGGTTTGCACACATCTCAGGAGGGATTTTGTCCCACTCCTCTTTGCAGATCCTCTCCAAGTCATTGAGGTTTCGAGACTGATGTTTGGCAGCTCGAACCTTCAGCTTCCTCCACAGATTTTCTATGGGATTAAGGTCTGGAGACTGGCTAGGCCACTCCAGGACCTTAATGTGCTTCTTCTTGAGCCACTCCTTTGTTGCCTCGGTTGTGTGTTTTGGACCATTGCCGTGCATGACCCATTTTCAATGCCCTGGCTGAAGGAAGGAAATTCTCACCCAAGATTTAACGGTACATGGCCCTGTGCATCGTCCCTTTGATGCGGTGAAATTGTCCTGTCCCCTTAGCAGAAAACACCCTCAAAGCATAATGTTTCCACCTCCACGTTTGACGGTGGGGATGGTGTTCTTGGAATCACAGGCAGCATTCCTCTTCCTCCAAACATGGCAAGTTGATGCCAAAGAGCTCGATTTTGTTTCATCTGAGTACAACACTTTCACCGTTCTCCTCTGAATCATTCAGATGTTCATTGGCAAACTTCATATGGGCCTGTACATGTGCTTTCTTGAGCAGGGGAACCTTGCGGGCGCTGCAGGATTTCAGTCCTTCACGGCGTAGTGTGTTACCAATTGTTTTCTTGGTGACTATGGTCCCAACTGCCTTGAGATCATTGACAAGATCCTCCCGTGCAGTTATGGGCTGATTCCTCACCATTCTCATAATAAGTAAAACTCCATGAGGTGAGATCTTTCATGGAACTTTGGACTGAAGGAGATTGACAGTTATTTTGTGTTTCTTCCATTTGTGAATAATCACACCAACTGTTGTCACCTATCCTTAGACAGCTCTTTGGTCTTGGTCATGGTGGAGAATTTGGAATCTGATTGATTGATTGCTTCTGGCTTTAAGAAAGTGCTCCTAATCTCAGCTCGTTACCTGTATAAAAGACACCTGGGAGCCAGAAATCTTGCTGACTGATAGATCAAATACTTATTTCACTCATTAAAATGCAAATCAATTTATAACTTTTTTGAAATACATTTTTCCTGATTTTTTTTTGTTATTCTGTCTCTCACTGTTAAAATAAACCTACCATTAAAATTATAGACTGATCATTTCTTTGTCACTGGGCAAACGTACAAAATCAGCAGGGAATCAAATAATATTTCCCCTCACTGTAGAAAGACCAAGATATTTATATGAACAATAGTAACATTCTTCCTATCATCAGACATAGATGCAATCACATACATCTCATCCACTACTCAAATTATACAGCCACTCCATAAGAAGACTATATTTTTAGCATTCTCTAGTTATACCATTTACACCTGCAATCTTCCCATTGTTCACTGTTCACATTTTTTCTTGAGCACTAGCATTTACAGGATCCATTTCAATTACACTCCAACATAATACTTTTATTTCCATAGAAATCTATGAAATCCCCCTTTTATCATTCCCTCATTTCACTTTAATCATTTCATCACATCTTCATTCCAATCCCTTTGTTACACCCTCTTCAACTCTTCACCCACTTCCAACACAATTCTTTATTTTCATCAAAATTACTCTGCATTCTCTCTCCCTCTTTTATTCCTAACCATTTCTTGTTCTTTTTGATTACTTTGTTTGCTTACTAGCTTTCTTTAAGGACACACCATACAATATATCCCATCCATCTTTTTTCCAGCAATCATTTTCTTATATGCATTTTCCTCATCTCCTGCCTCTTTCATTCATCAAGCATCCTTTTTCATATTTTCAACACTTGGAATATTTTGCATCTTAATTGGCACATTGGTCCCAAGACTGACTGGTTTAGTCCTTATTGTTAGCTGGGAATACTGCATGTGGCACATGGGTAACTAAGACTGGTGATGTAGTCTGTACCTTCTCTGTATTACTAAAAAGGATGATGTGAAAAAGAATGATTACAATTATACAATTAGATATTAAAACTAGATCAATAGCAATGAACTACAGAGTTCAAGATATTTAAATACTATAAAATTTTGGCACATAACAGTATTTCCTACTGAACAATGTAGTCTTCATAATCTTACCCAGTTCTATATAGAGGCCCCAGCTTATCCCAGAAAGCAGAGCCAGGGTAATGAGGTCACCAAGACTGGCAGCAATAGGCGTAGCCACATTGTCAGGATTGATACCCATCTTTCTGGAACCAATGATTACACCAATCATGATCATGCCTAGAGCCGACAGAAAGGAGATGTTAGTGTTACTACACAATGAACTATGAATGAAATCTCTTTCTCACGGAAGCATTTGTTTCTTACCCAGCACAAGGGAGGCAATGAAGGCAGTGGCCACACTACTGGCACAAAGGAGAATGGCATGGCCAACGCTGAAGTGTCCATCTGGGATCCAGCCAAATATCACTGCAGCAATTGAAGCCAGAAAACCAACAACTGTTGCTTGAACCTAGAAAATACAGCCATGTTTATTTGCAGGGAAAAAAAATAAGTTTATTGATTAGAAAAATATGCTGCCTGATTAATCACACACTAGGTAGCTCACATAGATAAACCATAGCCACTAATAATAAAATATAAAAGACAATATACAGTGTCCTGGTATCCAGTTAAACTTTTCCATGGAAGAAAACTGATTTCACTGATCTTCTAAAGCAGACATGTCAAACTCGGGACATCA